ATTGGTCATTTACTCATTTGTGTTTGAAGTACAGATATGCATCAGTGTTCCACTTCTATCCCTTTCTCTTCTTTCATTCCAGGACTGTCATAAAACCTTCATTTGGAGACCTTCTGAGTTGGTAATAACTTTATGTTTGATTGTACAACCAGTACTACATCCAACTAATTGTATTCCCAGCTAGCTTACTTTTCTGTCTTCCACAAGAGAAGAGAAATCGTATCAATTATTTTGCTGAAATGTATTAGTGATTTGGAGATTTCATATTCATTGAAGTAAAAAAAAAATCAAAGAGGTCTTCCTATTATTTTGCAAAACAATATATAAGGAGATATTTTTATGTCTCCTAATATTAAGATACCAAATAAAAACACTGATTTTTGAGCACTGCTGCTTAGAAGTTTGATAGTAAATAGTTCACATCAGGTCTTAAGTTTGAAGCTGTTGAAAAGTCAGCTTTTGTTCACAACATGGTAACCCTTCTGACCCCTGTGAGTTGTTTCATAAATTCATATTATTAACCACAAGGCAGAGTGAAGGAAGAAATACACAATTCCATCACTCTCTTCCCAAAATTCCTCCCCCAATACGTGTAAGGTGATGTCAGGATGTTGACCCTCCATATAGAGATCATGAGTGTTGACCTTTTTTTCTTATAAAGATAATAAATAGAGGTTATTTTATTCTCATAAGATTGTACCAATTTTTGAAAGGTGGGAACAGGTGTAAGCACAAGCTTCCAGACTTAGATTATTTGTTGTATTAACTTACTAATTTTTGATGAATTTTATGTATTCACATAAATTCAAAATTTCTAATTAGATAGGTCTGTGATCAATCATGAATAATTGCATTTTATTAAAGGTAGGAAATCATAAGGTATTGGTTCCAGGATCAACCAGTCCATGACTAATTGTGTTTTATTACTGGTAATCAAACAAACTGCGACATGCATATTTCTATTGATGTCAGCCCCTATCTTCTAGTCACCCAGGTTTGAAATCTAGATTTTTGTTTCTTTATTTTGACTTTTCTCTTTCTTTCATCTGATGCAGTCAAACATGTGTCACATCCTTTTGTTTACACTTCCACAATGTCTCTCATATATCCTCTCTACTTATCTGGTCACCACAAGAGTTAAGACACTCATCACTACTCACATCAAATTTTGCAAAATCTTCCAATCTGATCTTCCTCCCTCTATTCTATTATCCATTCAATCTATATTTTACACAGCATCCAAAATAATCTTAGTGGATTTACTGTCCTGATTAAAAAAAAACCTTCAGTGCTTCTATAAAATGAAATTTAAATGTCTTAACCTAACATTCAAGGTCTTCTATAACCTGGCTCCAGTACACCTTTCTAGCCTTTCTTCATGTCACTACTTAAAATATAATATATTCTTTTTTAATTCCAACAATGCTATTCTCAAAACTGTTACTAACCTGTCCTGACTGCCTATATTCATATAGACCTTTCACTATGCTAGGAAAAACATGTTTCACTGGATTCAAGGTAAAGTTCAAGTTTTATGTAGCCTTTGATAAATATACATATTTTAGTGCAATATGATACATAACATTTTTATCCTCATTGTAATTTCCACTCCACTCTCATCTATGACTGGTTTCTTTATTGTTAGGTTCCCCTAGAATATTTTATCTGGATTGTTCCATTGTTAAATGGAATATTTTCTTTCCTAGAAGGGTCTCCATCATTTTAATCATTGTTTTCCCCACACCTAATAAAATATTTTACACATACAGAAAATTCCATTAATGCATGCTTTGGAATGGATGGATAGATGGGTGAATACATGAAGTTCCTTGATGTTTGAAATAACAAAAGTCACATTTTTCATTGACCCATGGAAAAGGAGATGAAAGACCATCTCCTTACCTGCTGGATGTCTGAGTCTCAAAATTCTTATGTCTGGAAACAAAGTCCGGGGCCAGTTGTCTGGATCTTACATCTTTGTCTTTGGCCTTTGAGGCCTGAGCCCTAGTGAGGTTCTGTTAAGCTTTGGGCCATATAACATAGAATCTCCAAGTCCTAAGGGTATGCTTTTGAGAGGATAATTTCCTTCTAATCCCAGAAGAAAGCTTACTGAAGTTTATTATCTTGACTTTAATGGAGTTAATTAAATTCCCACAGGTAAATAATGATTCTGAGTGTTTCAAAGTGATGTAATAAGAGAAGGCTGTGTTAAAAAAGGAAATAAAGAAAAAAAAAACTTTTACATTACTCAAGTTTTCCGGCCCCTTTTACAAAGAAGAGAGTAGTTGGTCTGTGTAAATTGAGAGACATTGACATTTAGGTCAAGAATTTTTCCCACTCTTATAAGAGCTAGCTCTAACGGAATCATTTTGTAATACAAAGTGTATCTAACTGGCAAGTGTAAAATCATGGGATCAGATTCTATAACCTCATTATTTAATTATAAATAGGAAATGTGTGTCGAGGCAGAAAATGATATGGTACCAAGAAGGACACAATCACAGGGACCAAATAACCCTTCCCAGAATCTTTTGCTGGGGAAGTCAACATAAGACAGGAGTGCCCCCAAACTATGCTAAAGCAATTTGGGAATTCTCCTTTGCTCTGTGCACCAACATCCATTTCAGCATTGTCAAAAGATACAAAAACCCAGGGTCAAAAGAAATAATTATTTTTGAGATGTCAAAATAACAATTTAATTTCATTGTATTTCATTTAATTAGGAAGATATTTATTAATGATTACACAACATATACATATATATGTGTATATATATAGGCAAATGAGAAAAAATCAACAACTATTATCTTTAATTAAAATTACTTCATTAAATGTCTTGATCTCTATTCTGTTATGGCTATATGCAAGGAATTCCGTCACATGATCTAGAAGATACAAGGATGAACAGTGGCATAATCTCTGCCCTTAATAATCTGAAGGGGAGACAGAACCAAGATGGCAGAGTAGCAAAGCACTCCACTGATATCTCCCCAATTCTGCTCCTAACAAGTCTAAAATACCATATGAAGTAGAATTACAGAGCTGCAGAACTGATAAATGTTGAAGTGAAATGATTTCCGGCCCAAGACAACTTAGGAGGTCTGAAGGAAAGATCTCTCTGGGGTGGAAGTGAATTTGGAAATCAATTAAAAATAATGTTTTTTTTTCATTTAATAAAAAATATCTTAAAGATAGCGAAGGAGATGCAATATGGCAGGATGGGAGGAGTAATTAAAACAGAAAATGGATCATTCTTGACCAATTATCAAAAAGAAAATAGGCCAGAAATATATTCAAAGTAACTTACGTCAGAGGGACAGTTAGCTGAACTAGTACCTAGGGAACACAAATGAAGCTGACTTTTAGCACTTAATCATATTGTCAGCCAATAAACAATCATTAAGCACCTACTGTGTTCCAGACACTGTGCTTAATATTGGATATATGTTTGTCTCTTTTGAGACAAAATGCAGTCCCTGTCCTCAAGGGGTTCACAGTCTACTGTGGGAGACAGCAAACAAGCACGTATTTACGTTGTATCTGTATATACAGAGTAAATAATTAACCAGGGCAAAGGACAAGAATTCAGAGAGATTTGTAAAGGGTTCTAGGAGAAGACAGAATTTTAGTTGGGGTATAAAGGAAGCCATAAAGAAAGAAGGTAGCCATGAAGGTTCCAGAAGGAGGGAGATCATTGCAAGCATGGGGAACAGTAGATCACTTTCCTGGAGCCAACAGACTGAGACTTTTAGAGGACTGGCAAGGAGATCAGTCAGTATATCAAAGAGTATGTGGCAGGGAGTTAGACCTAAGGAGCCTGGAAAGGTTGAGGTAGGCTAGGGCATGAAAAGCTTTGAATAGCAGAAAGAGGGTTTTGTATTTGATCCTGGAGGCCACAGGGAGCCATGGGAGTTTACTGAGTATGGGGGTGACATGCTTGCATCTACACTTTAGGAAGGTCACTTTCATGGCTGAATGAAGGCTGGATTGGAATGGGGAAAGAATGGAGACAGCAGAGACACCAGAAGAAGCAGGTATATCATTAGGGTAGAAAGAGATGGAAAAACATTTCACAGCTGGAGAAGGTGAGGATGGATAGCTGGTGGAACAATTGGAGAGAGTGCTCAGATCAGTAAGATCATTGATCCACTGAAGGAGCAATCAGATTACTAAAGAATAACACAAGAAAGTATGTTGGAGAAAAGAAGAGAGGGAAAAAAATGTGTTTAGGGAAAAGTTAAGGTAGAATGATAGGGACAAATCATATCTAAGAAATGGTACAGTAATTGTGTGGATTCAGTAAATAAGGAAGACCTTATAAGATAAGTGCCTGCTATGAACCAAGTACCACATGAGGATCTGAGGTTGCAACTATAAAGAATAAAATGATCTTTCCATTTTATGGAGGGCAGTTACTTCTCAGAGTGGATGGAGTGTTAGGCCTAGAGTCAGGAAGACTTGAATTCCAATCCAACTTCAGATGCTTACTAGCTGTGTGACCCTGGGCCAAGTCATTTAACCTTCTTTGCCTAAATTCCTCATCTGTAAAATAAACGGGAGAAGGAAATGGCAAATCACTCTGGCATCTTTGCCAAGAAAACCCCAAATGACTTATGAAGATTTGGGCATGACTGAAACAATTGAACAACAACGACAAATTTATTGTGTAGGCAAAAAAAAATCCATAAGAAAATTAACAGAATAAATATTTTTTTTCTTAAAAGGCATTTAAACATGAGATGAGGGAAAGGGAAGTGACAGTTGGGGGCAGGGGAAGCAATCAGGAGAGGCTCTGTGTAGAAGGTTGTGTTTGAACTGTGTCTACAAAGAGCAGGATTGTAGGAGATGAGGAAATAATATATTTCTATTGTTCCCAGGGGTATGACAAATACAAAAGCACAGCGAGGGAAAATTAATTGTGTATAAGGAACAGAACAAATGCTAACATTGTTGAATTATGGAGGAGTTTCAGTGTACAATAAAGCTATAACAACACCGAATTAATGAGAATGAATTGACTGAGGTAAGATTTTGGTAACCTTAAAATTGTTGACTGCTTCCTTCACATCTTTATTTCTCAGACTATAGATCAGAGGGTTCAACATTGGAATTACTACTGCATAAAAGACAGAGGCCACTTTGACCTCCTCCTTTAGATTTTGATTCCTGGGCAAACAGTAGAGGAAGAGAATTGTCCCATGATAGATAGTGATGGCCATGAAATGTGAGGTGCAGGTGGAGAAAGCTTTATGCCTTCCACTCACTGAATTCATCTGCAGGACAGTAGTCAAAATAAAAAGGTAGGAAGTGAGTATGATCACAAGTGTGTATAAGTATCCAAGCAGGAAGCAGAGAGGATGACAGAATATTCACAGAAAAAGTTATCCAGGATGCTAAATTGACAAAAAGATAATGAAAGGAGGGAGGACATGATGACAAGGGAAGAGATAATGCCCCATGCGTAGGCACCAGTCACCAGTAGAATACAAAGGGTCTGGGACATGGCAACTGTATACATCAAGGGATTAGAAATGGTCACAACACGGTCATAGGCCATCACTGCCAACATGAATGTTTCTGTCACCACAAATGTGCAAGCGAAAAAGAATTGGGTAATGCAGCCCTGGAAGGATATTGTTCTGTCTGCCACAGCTAAGTTCTCTAGCAGCTTGGGAGTAATGACAGTAGAATAACAGAAGTCCACAAAGGACAAGTGGCTGAGGAAAAAGTACATAGGAGTGTGGAGTTTGAGGTTGATCCTGATGATGACAATCATGCCCAGATTCCCCAGCACAGTCACACTATAGATGGCAAGGAACACTAGGCAGAGTGGGACCTGGAGCTCTGGGTTGTCAGAGAAACCTAAGAGGATGAATGTGACTGTGCTGCTCTGATTCTTTTCAGTGCTCAGCATGGTACCTATGGGGAAAAAAAGAGTTTATCCTTACACATAGAGCATTAAGGAAAATAGAATGCATTCATAATACAAAGAGTCATGAATTTGGGGCTTTATGGGACTGAGAAGGAAAAATGAAGAAATAGAAATATTCTGTATACTGAATCGGGTCACAAGTTGGTACAGTGGACAGAGGGATGTATGTGGAGTCAGAAAAAGCTTGAATTGAATTTAGGTTTCAGACAATTACTAGCTATGTGGCCTTGGGCAAGTCTCTTAAGCCAGTTTGCCTCAATTTTCTTACGTGAAAAATGAGCTGGAGAAGGAAATGGCAAGCCATTGCAGTATCTTTGCCAAGCAAACCCCACAAAGGGGCCACAGACAATAGGACACAAGTTGAACAACCAAAAAATAAGTGTATTCTGAAAATGGAGGCTTACTCAGAAAGATCCCCAAGGTTGGTCTTGATTCTTTGTTTGCTAAGAAACTAACCTGTATGTGACAAGTATGGGAGGTTGCAAGAAGAGTGGTCCTAGGTGGCTACATTATGGTCACACATTTGAGTGAGCTTGAAGAGAGAACCAGAATTTTGCCTGGTAAGTGAGTTTGGCAGTAGGATAGTTTTAGTAGGTTCCTATCAAGTAGGGAAGATGTTTCAGCATTGAGTATAAGTTTGTGAATTTTGAGTGCATCCACTGGGTTCTTCCAGTGATAACCCAAGATAAGATTTGTTAAAGAACATTGAAAATGGTTTGTAAAAGCCAGATTGTGATCTTTGGAGCCTTTTTTCTCTTGCTAGGCAATGGGGTTAAGTGGCTTGCCCAGGATCACACAGCTAGTAAGTGTTATGTGTCTGAGGCTGAATTTGAACTCACATCCTCCTGAAGCCAGGGCCAGTGCTCTATTCACTGTGCAAGCTAGATACCCCAAGAAGAACTTTTTTTCTAGGGAAGCAATTGGGGAGAGCCCTTTTTCATTTCTGTTTCAGGAAGACATCTCCTGGGGGAGATGGCATCACCTCAAACAACATGGGACAATCGAAATCATGAGAGTAAATCTGAAATACTAAATATAATCTTATTATGTTATTATAAAAATATTTGGGAGCATTCACAATTATTAATTTTATCAAATAATATAAATTCTGGTTCACAAAGAGACAGGGAAAGAAAGAAATCAAAATGCTCAGAATTAGTCCATAATACTCAGATTTCAGTGAATATTTTAGGTGACAAATCTGACATTCAGGGAAATATTTCCTTGGGGATGTAGAAAGAGGAATGAGAATTTGAGAGACTATTGTTCAAAGGAGGGATTAGGAGATAAATTTCTGTCCAAAAGAGATTTATTCCCTTCTTGTTACAAAATTTGGTTAATCAAAATTATTGATATTTTTATATGATGCCCTAGAAATCTTACTGGAATTCTAAGAAATTAAAGTTACTAAAGGTACTAAAGTTTAGAATGGAACTAAAATGTTTGGAACAACTGGCTAAATTATAAACTAAGAAAGTTTATAAAGAAGAAAGTTTATAATTAATCAGGGGTTGTAACTGGAAGACAATAAATATCTTTTAGAGATAAATTTATCATCTGATCCTTCTTTTTATCATCCTTACTTCCTTTAGAACTGAATGAATTGTTTTGGTACACACTGTATAATTTTTCAAGGTTTAAAAATGGCTTGAATATTTTATTTCAGTGTGTTCAAACTATAAATATGTATGGTGTTAGTTCCCATTTTACCTCGTAGAAAAATAAGGATCTAAAAGGGGAAGTGGCTTTCTCAAAATCACACAGCTAACCAGTAGTCAGGATTCTGAACCAGTATTTCTAACTCCAAGTGCTTTTCTCTATTAGGCCATTCATTTTCAGTAAACTTAGAAGACACTATAAGGGTGAGGGGATAAACCAATCAATGAACGAAAACACATGAAAAACAGCTCAATGGCTAGCCCTTAGTAAAGTTGGGAGGTAGATAAAGTGTGCTAACATTATTGTATATTTTGCTTCCCGTGATTTCTCCTACCTTGAGAAACCTCAGGCCATGGGGGATTTATTTATTTATTTAATGGAGAAAAGTAGATTCAATAAGCCACTAAAACCTGAGAGGTTTTTATGTTTGTTTTTCTTTTCTTTTTTTTCTTTTTCCTTTTTTTAAAGAACTGTGAGTTTTATAGTATTAGAGAATGTTCAGGGGTCACTGAGATGAAAAGGACATGCAACAAGATAGAAAGACAACAGATAGCCAAACCACAGATCAACCTTTTCAATGCAGTTGTAACACTGCTGATGGCAGCAGGGAAGAAGAATGGGCTGTCAGCTACCCTCACAATTTACGTCTTCGCCTGTTAAAAATAAAAAAAAAAATAAGTATCAGGTGGGGAATTCCAGGCTTCTGTTGTAATGATAACAATAACAATAATGATATTAATATATAACTAGTGGTTGTTGGACTAATCTCTTTTCACTTCCAAACTTCTTAATTACTGCCAGGGGCACTACCATCCTCCCAATCAACTAGACTTACAATCTAGGTTTACTGCATGACTACTCACTCTCCTTCTCACCCTCCACATACAATCTGTTGCCAAAGCCTGCTGATTTTACCTCTACATTATTTGTTACACATACTACTTTCTCTCCTTTGACATTACCATCAATATGGTTCAGGCCTTCATCATCACATGCCTAGTCTATTGCAATAGCCTGCTGATTGGTCTCCCTGCCACAAATCTCTCCCTTCTTTAGTCCATCCTACACTCAGATAACAAAGTGATCTTCTTACAGTACCTGTCTGACTATTGCAAACAACCCTAACACCCCCTCCCCATACACACACACACTCAATCAACTTCAGTGGGTCTCTAGCACCTCCAGGATCTAATACGGTTCTCTGTTTTGTTCAAAGACTTTTGTAGCCTCTTCTATGCCTCCCCTCACTCCAGTCTTTTTAGTGTTTTTTTTTAACAAATTATACTAACCAACTACACTGTGATTTAGTGATTCTGTTCTTGTTGCTATTCATTGTAGTTTCATGTGCAATCATCTTTTCTGTTCTACTATGTTATGGAAATGCCTGTTTTATTTCTTAAGATCAGAAAAAAGGAAAAGAAAAGGCATTCCATCTTCCTGTTCTAGACATTTTTATTGGCTGTCCATAATACTTGGAATATTCTCCTTCCTTATATTTCTCTTACAGTTTCCCTGGTTTCCCTGGCCTCCTTTAAGTTCCAATAAAGGTCTTGCCTTCCATAATACCAGTTCTTAATCTTTGGATCATGACTCCATTTCAGCTCATGTAACTTAATGTGGGGGTCGTGAAAAATTTTCCAACAGTAAAAAGGTTTCTGAATGCTCAACAACCAAAAATTAATTCAAACTAAAATACATAATGAATCTGAGGTGTTTCTGCCAGCACTTGCCCAAGTTGAATACAACTTCTTTGCAGCCTTGGTTCTGAACACACAACATGCACACTTTTCACTATACATGCCATCATGCCACCATGCCACGCAAAGCCAATGAATGCTGCCAGGGACATCTTGGCTCATATTCGAGACTTTTGTGTTATGAATTGCAGTGTTCTCACTGTACCTACCAAATTAAATGAATTTTGTTTTGGGATTAGGACAGAATTTCCAACAATTTCCAAAACAGCCTTAAACCTACTTCTGTCCTTTTGTATAACATAGTTATGCAAAGTGGCATTCTCAGCACTGATCATTATAAAATCAAAACATTGCAACTCTGAAAAATATTGAAGATGCTCTGCATCTTGCAGCATCAAATATTGCACCAAGATTTAATTCTTTATGTAAAAACAGATAAGCACATCTATTTCATTAGTATGAAAAATTGCTTTCATCATTAATAAATGATAAAACTATGTACACACACACACACACACACACACACACACACACACACACACGAATTGTTTTTTGTTTGTTTTTGCTAGGCCATAGGTTTAAATGACTTACCCAGGGTCACACAGCTAGTAAAAGGTTAAATGTCTGAGGCTGGATTTGAACTCAGGTCCTCCTGATTCCAAGGCCTGTGCTCTATCCACTGCACCACCTAGATGCCCTAATTTTTTTTTTCTAAAATAAATTTCTTTAGGATTTATTATCAGGAAATGTTTGATTTCTTTACCTATGTTACATACCTATTATGTGCCTGGGGTAATGTAGAAATTTCTAGGTCAAAAGGGGTCGTGAGTGGAAAAAGTTTAAGAAGCCCTGTTCTAGAGGATGCCTTTTTTTGTTGAGAAAAAAAGAAAAAACATATCTTTCTTTCAATAATAATCAGCATTTCTATATCACTTTAAGTTTTGCAGAAGACTTTACAAACATTATCTCATTTTATCCTTACAACAGTCCCGTGAGGTAGTTGCCATTACCTCATTTTACAGTCTAGTAAATAGGGGCAGATAGAAGTTAAATGACTTTCCCAGGGTCATAGTGATGAGGTCTAGAGGTTAGGGGTCCTGGAATCCCAAAATCATGACCCGTGGGTCCTGTCTGAAAGAATTCAACCCAAGCCTTCTTTCAGCCAAAGACAAAGTTTGTTAAAACATCCAGCATATTGGTCAGACTCTTAAGGAGTCTGAATATTAGTAAGATATTGGCTATATTAGAAGAATCTGAACAGTGGCTAGATTTTAAGAATCTAAGCCAAGGACACCTTTTTCAAAACCTTCAGAATTCTCAATCTTCTTCTTTGTTGATAATTACCAATTTACCTGGTATTTAACTTGTTTATACATAATTCTTACATTTTCCCCCTGCATTAGACTTTGAGCTCTTTGAAAGAAAGGTTGTCTTAATTTTTTTTTAAATCACAAGTATTCAGCACAATGCCCGGTCAATGAACCTTGATCAACATCTAAAGCTGATTAAAAGAAGTGATAGACTGTGGCATTAGTTAGAGTTCAGAGAAGAAAAATAAACATACACACATCCAAACCGATCCGAGAAGTGAATGAGAGCTGCTGAAATATGTAAAATCCAAACCAGAATAAGCCTAATAGAAAAAAAAAATCTAGTATTTCCTTCAACACAAGCATAACACTGATTCTTCTATGCCAGTCACTATCATGTGGGTAATCATCCTTACCCAAACTCTAGAATGTATATTTCTAATGTCTTCTTTAGTTCTTTATATCTTCTAGCTTCTCTCCTTAATCTTACAAACTCCCATTAATTCCTCTTATCCTTTTCTTTCCCCTTTTTTTTCCTTAAGATTTATCCTAATTGGATATTTTTACAAATAATTTCTTTTACAGATGAGAAAATTAAGGCTGAGAGAGATTAAATAAATTAACAAGTGTCAAATAGCTAGTAACCATCTGAAATGAGATTACTATTCAGTAGTTTTTAAAAAGTTATTTTATTTTTTATTTATGGAATAAAACAAGCATTTCCATAATAGTATAACAGCAACAAAACATGATTCCACCTAAAGCTGCAAATCTAATCTATATAACTTGCCATTCTTTTTAAATATATGATAAAATTATCAAATAAATTTATTATTATTATTGTTATTATTATTATTATTATTCTCCATTCCCTCCTCCTCCATGTCAAGCACTGTTGCATAGTCTCTAATAGTAGTCTCTATTTTTGGAAGTCCTCAGGACAGTTACATTCATTTTCAATCCACCTCTGCTTGTGACTCTCCAAACTTTCCATTTCTTATTTCTCTTGCCCTCTAAGCCAGAGCAACTAGGTGGCACAGTACATAGAGTGCCAGGCTTGAATTGAGGAAGACTCATGTTCCTTAGTTTAAAAATGTCTTATTTACTGACTGTGTGACCTTGAACATCTCATGTAACCCTGTTTGTTCCAGTTTCCTCACCTGTAAAATGAGCTAGAGAAGTAAATGGCAAACCATTCCAGTATCTCTGCCAAGAAAACCTCAAATGGGGTGACAAAAAGTTAGATGTGACTAAAATAATTGGACAACAAAAAAGTAATTTAATCTTTCATTGCTTCATGAAGGTCAATAGGATTTATTTCATAAATCATAGATTTGTTGTTACCTTCTTTTTGATAGCAGTTTCCACACTAGGTTCTTCGTATCATATGAAAACCATAGATTGTGAACATGTAGTTCAAAATTTATACATATATATATATACTTCTTTTATCACTCCACCTCAAATCAAAACAACATTTGATGCCTCATCATCACATAGAAATGAAACAGGTTTATAGAAAAGTTTAAAAAAAAAGATGATGTTACACAGAAACAATGAAAATAGAAATTTGGCCTTGGGGCCTGGACAAGGTAGATTCATATCCTAATTCTGACACATACAGCATCATCTTGGACAAATTATATAATCTCTTACTATTCTTGGTGACTCTCTAAAGCTAAAAGTGGCAGAAAACATATCTACTTGGTATTCATAGAGGGAGCTTTATTTAATAAACTAAGAATGACATGTTATCAAGATTATAAGTGCAAATATCCTTATAAGTTTGGGGGACTGCAGAATTCAACTTTGGCACGTCCACCGAATCAAAAAGCTCTATGTGTAGCATGGTGGTAAAGTGTAAACAGAAATGGACTGTTGATGTTCTTGTATGATATTTTTTAGGGGAGCAATAAGGAGTGGGGGTAGGACAGAACTCCCCCAGAACATTTATTTAGTCAGACAGTAATTGTGATTTTTATTATTGAAGAGGAAAATGACACTGAAAAAATATGAGACTCTTGAAATAGAGGAATAAGTAATCTCAAATAACTTAATTCTTCTCATGGCAGGGATTATGCTTGATACCTTATTGCGTCCCATGGTTAATCAATATGCCATTCGTGTAACAATGCTAGGAAAATAAAAAAAGTTATAACTATTAGAACTGACATGATTTCAGTTTAAGAAATGCCTCTTTTGCCTGGAAGCACCCTTCTCATTCATCAGCCACAGGGATGCCAATAAAACTACTCAGGCTTTCAGGAGCTGGCATTGCATAGGGAAAGATCAACAATGTCTTGATGTATTGACTTAACTGAAGGTGCTCTCCCTTAGCTGACTTTTTTTCCTATTTCCCCTGGTTCAGTGGATTAGGCTATTGATAAAACCTTTTCACTGCAATAAAACACTGCCCCCTAAAAAGACAGTCTCATAATTTGAGCTTATGCAATATATTAAAATAGAAAAAAAAACCCTTAATTAGTTTTCATTGGCCATATCATGGCCAACTTCAGAATAGACAGAAACCTATAATATGTAATAATATTATAAAGTATAATGTAAGGCAATCATTGTTTCTTCTATAGAC